GACGTGTAAATTTAATAAACTTATCCCAAATGATGACGAAAATACGCCATAAATTAACCAGAACAACTTACTGTTGGTATACATATATTTCCATAAAAAGAAACTAGTTTACTTACATAACAAAAATAACTATCAGTCAAATGACGTAAAATGAAATAGTTTCATAAGTGTAATTAATGTAGTTACACATTATGGCAGATATTTGACTGAGTGAGATAACGAGAGAGTGAGAGTGAAAGAAATAGAGAAATACATCTATGAATTCAAGTTGAATGCGATACCTTGACAACAGAGGAAGAAATAGATGACACACATACACACAATGTACGCATCAAGTTGACTAATTTGATAAATGACACGCAATATTTTCTAACAGTCAAACTAAATATACATCAAAAGGCTCGATTATGACATTGTTTTTTATTGATAAACAAGTTTATTTATCATGAGGTAAGCTAGTACAAAAATATAATTATTTTGGTGAAAGTTGGTTTATTAGGGATGAAAGCTGAAGTTATGTAACACATTTGCAGTGTGTAGTGTCGAACGCTTCCCGGTACTTTTACCTGAATTAAGTGGGTATATACTGCTTCATTGACGACATTAATTTTCCTCAAACATTTTATTACAAGCCCTGACTTACAATAAATTTAAGTTTCTTGACGCAATGGGCCAATCAGAAGTCGCCAAATGAGGTCACGAAGTAGTGCCAATAAAAAATCTCCTGATGATGAGTTCACGTGATTGGTCAAGAAATGGTTTCATTTTCTAACGTGTATATATATAAGTATTTGTGGATGTGAGTAATTTTTGTCCAATAAACGTCATTCTTCACTCCTAGTCTTCTTACTCAGTAGTCGGCTGAGAGCTCGATTATGAGAAGTTTGTGTATCAGTATCAGTTTCCGGAATCATAGTTTATAGCATTTCTCATCCGACATGGAAGACGGTTGTGGGTAATTCCAAATGTTTGAGATGAAATCTACGATGAAGCCCAAACTATTACACACAGCACTCACTGTCATGACGAAGGGTGTCCGAAATCTGATACAGGACGTGCTACGCACTAACTCTCCAACTGATTACATGAGCGAGAACACAAGAGTGGATGAGAAAGCATATTGAGCTACGGAATAAAATGGACAAATACTCATATATATACAACACCCTACCCCTTAAAAAATAACTCTATTTCATAGCCGATAAGATGCACTTGTTCTTCAGGTCATCGATCAGCCTTCTCATTTGGCTGCTTCTGACAAGTTTACCATATCATTCACTGATTCTTAGATTCCGTATGCCTATTAAACACTAAAAACATAATAAATAACTTCCGCCAACATGAGATGAGTTTGAATAATTCTCTTAAAATGACAGCTTGATTGGTTATGAAACAACTTTAAAGCTAATGAGAAAAGATGTGCGATAAATAGAACTATTTCTCAACAGAAGTAACAGAAACTATTAAGATTTAGTAGTCTTAAGAAGTTTATTAGCTTTTTAAGGATTATTACCAATTTCCCGATTTTAGTATTGTAGAAGTACCATTGTATAATTTCAATAATCTAAATGTTAACATATTCACACTAAAGACTTCTTGCACAATCTTTCTTGTAAACATAAATAGCTTCATAAAAATTCATCATCACCTATAAAATCTTTGATAATAAATTTACTGAAAACTGAAAACAGATGAAATCATAAAGGAATCATTGTTATCGACATATCATATATGATAATAAAGTCAGGGATGAAGATCGTTATCTATTTTAATATCTTTACTTCACTGGTTTAATCATTATTCAGTAAACCGTTTATAAGATATCTTTTTAGCGAATTTATTAGAATTAAAGTAAACTCTAACAAAACTGATTGATTCACGTGTTACGTAATGTACATATATATGTACTTAAAAGTGATCACTTGATGCTTTTAACATGATCGTTTCTACTCTGAGATAACAACAAGAATTATGTTCTAACAATTTTTAAAAAAAAATTACAAATACTACACAAAGATATTTTTATTGTAAATTATTTTATATGATCAAAGATAGAATTGGTGAAACAGATAAAACAAAGCGGTGAACTCAATCAATTAGAAAGCAACTTTTGTAAATGGACTGTTTATGGAGAGAAAACAAATGATATTACAAAATGTAAGCAATAATTACACAGTTAATACATCTGTCAAAATTCTCTCTTACAACTTATTCTGTTAGTAAATAGACAAAAACTGCATATATATATATTGATCTTTATGGATATAGATTATCTGTCATCCTGAACGTTTATGACAACTTATACTGTTTTAGAAGAATCCACAGAGAATTTTTTTAGTTAGGACTGGGGATCACAGGGTTAAGGTTTTCATCAAAAAATGGAATAAGTTATAATTTAAAAATGTTCTGTACTCATATCGATAAATGAATTTCGTAAAAACCTACATGGTACAATATTTGATTAGTTTCTCCATAAAACAAGCCTTAAACAGGTTTAGGTTTGCTTCAGGGTTTGGTGAATTTCTCTGTCACATACAATTTGAAAAGTGAGTTGAAGCAATATAGACGAGTCGACTTCATGTAAAAATGCAGGATGATCTATTTGATTGATTTGTTCATAAGATATAGTACCACTAAGTTACGGTTTGCTTCAGGGAATATAGAGGTATACACATCCTTATATTTTCAATTTGGTGTTTATATTCAACTAACAGAGATATAATTGAACACTTGTTACGTTTAGCACCATCATTTCTACAGTATCTTAATGGAAAGTGATTTTAGGCAATCATTTTAAACTTTTCGAGCACCATACAAAGGTATTTCTACTGCTTGTACTAAGTGATAAATGAGTTTCGTGCAAAAGCCAGATTCTGGTTGACTTATTCTTATAATATACTTTTACTGATGAAATTCATCAATTTTTTAATTTCGCGCAACAACTAGAAAGTAGTTTTGTTGGTTCGGATTGATCTATCCATATAACACTTTAAATCATACCATATATATAGGGGGTTAATCAGTTTTATTGAATTCCAACAAGAAGTCATAATCTATGGACATACATATTAGGAATGAGGCTTTGGTTCATTAATCACATTGGATGAAGATCATGCAATATCTTACGCTCAAATAAGTTGAATGAGTGAACTATCAAGTTCAAATTTAGTTTATGAAAAAAATTAGAAATCGGTTGACAGAGTACTAAATCTTCACCGAGTGAGATCGTCAGGATATATACTACGTATGTCAAACCACAACATAACTTGTTGTGTTGTTCTAGTTGGTGTAGTGGTGATTTGAGGGAAGGCTAGAAGCAACTAAACGAAGACGTGGTTTCATTTCACGAAGTCAGCGATTGACTTGAGTTAGTTGAGCAGATGCAAACTACCTACCTGGTCCAGGTTCACGCAATAAACTCTTTCAGTAGTTATGGTTAGCAAGGTTGGTTGATATTAATCAAAATTTGTTACAAAGGCACAGATTATTTCATTCTTTACCTTCATCTTCTTCTACATCTTCACTTCCAGTATTCCTTCATATACGCCTTTCACTATGTCTTCTCCAACCGTATTCTTAATGTTTGATCTTTCTCACTGTCGTCACGACTAAATTATTTCTACTTTTTTGTTATTCACCTTGCGAACTTCATTTCGTTAAGTTGATGTCGTCTGAAAACCTGAGCTAATGAGCATTACTGATAGACTTTATATTGACTATACATTAGCACTTTCACGAAGTTAATATCATGTTCGATCTTATGTTGCGTCGTGGATGTGCATCTCTGAAGAGCACCGAAATACGACCAAACATTTCGAGTGCTTATCGACTTACAATTATGGTTATGCGATATCAGTTACTGATGAAAACTGATTATATATATAAGCAGTGTCAGTGTTAATCTGTAAATCGAAGAAAGTTCTAGTGAGAAGTCATGACCAGTGGAGATAATTCGTGTCGGATGTGAAACAGAAACCTACGAAAGACAGTTGAAGGTGATCGCGTAATGTCTTGGATTGATTAAAGTTAGATATCGACATCGTTGGATGCTACCTCAGTGGTCTAGACGTTAAGCGTTCGCGCGCGAGACCGAAAGTCCTCAGTTCGATTCCCGTAGGTGGGATCGTGGATGCGCACTGCTGAAGAGTTCCATTCTAGGGCAAAACGGCCATTCAGAGCTTCCAGGTTCCCAATGGCGGTTCAAATTTGATCGGTTCATTAGTCCAGTAAAATTCAACAGTCTCCACAACCTCATACTGAAAATCGGAGAGAGACAGATAAATTCATGAAGTGTAATGACCTCTACCTAAGAGATGATGCTACTATAATTAATATTATGAATAATATTTTGTAGTCTGACACAAACAGAAATAATGATCGATTAGCAGCTAAGTCGACTGATATTTAACTGTACTGCTACTAGTTCGAAATTCATATCTAGTCATTGTCACTATGAACAAGGTGGTAGTATGACTAGTTTTCCACGCATAAAAAGATGCTTCACAGCCAAGTAAATAAGAACCTGTACTCGGTGTTAGACAGGAGTGAACAAATAGAAAAAGCATTTGATTTACAGTATTTTTGTATTGTCCTTATTGTAAGCTTCTAATTAAATCATTGATTGATGATACTTCTCTTACCGTTCATAATTATATGCTTGTTACTTAGTTTTATAACATAAATCACCTAACAATGTACAGATTGTGATAACTTATTTACAGTGAGTTATGAAATCATGAAGTTGATATTTATGGCCGTGTGCAATTTGAGTCATAAAATAAACAGAATAAATCCATTGACTTTTTTCATGCTCTGACTGAGCAAACTAGAAACAGGAATAAGTTGATCATTGATATAATTAACCCAAACAGACTCATCACTAGTGAAGTTAATAAAATAATGAACCTATTAAATAGGTATACACAAATGAGATCAATATCACTAGATAAATAAGTTACATTTAATTTATATCAATTAGATAGTAATAATAATAAACTGACCCGTACATTAGACTTCATGACATGACATACAGAAGTACTAGTAGTTGTTGTTATTGGTACTGTTGACGATGATGTTGTGGTTACTGATGTTGAACAACAGTTACTATCCATCTCTTGTTGAGCTAATTCATATTGTCTAATCTTAGAGAACTGCTCTGATCGTCTATGCGCAGATTCCAAAAGTACCTGAAAAGAGAAATGAAAAAAGGGGTTGAGCTAAAGCAAGACTATTAAATTTATACGGATAAAACAAACTAATTATACTATAATTCACTAGACAAACATTTCTATAGTTTGATAATTAGTACTAAGAATTTACAATGTATATATACGTATATACTACTTAAAACAATAAGTTTTCTAGGGTTAAGACCTAGACCTATACTTCTAATCAGTGGTTGAAAACATTTAAATCTTGTAGTTGCATTTCAGTCGAAAACTCGGATTAAATTATAGCGAGTACATAGATTATCATGTAAAATCAAACTCTTAACAATTCTGTCGATAATTTCAAGCTTATTTGTTATAATCAAATCAGATAGGTAGGTTAATAAACATCTGGACTTTTCGATCACTAAATGGCATAATTAATGTTATCTTGACTAGTATTTAATGCTGATCAAAAGTGATTCAAGTTGGAATATAACACACAGAATATCAGTTTCTTCGAGATTACAGATTGCCACGCCATACCAAAACAGCAAGATGAATACCAAAAAGCTGAACTTAGTTGTAAAAAAGAAAAGATTATGGTTAAAGATTCAAAAAGTAAGAATTAATTCAAGAAATAACTTCATAACTCAGGATCCGAGAGTAAACAAACAACGAATGGATCAGGTCACAGAGGCTGATTCTGAGTTATGTCACTCAACGTCCCAAACCACTGGTTATGGTAAGCATGCTAGTACTAACCAGAAGATAATCTACACATGTACTAACATAACTCAGATGAAGAGTCAACAAGTTGATGGGCTGATATCACATTTCTGTTTATCTACCTTGTTATGACACGGTGTCCAAAATCGATGCTGATGGAAAATGTTCCTATATGCAAGCTCCCGACCAGCTAGTGAGTGAGAAAACTACGAGTAAAGAAGAAAGCTTATTGAAATAAACCGATTCACACGCATAAGTTCTCATTTACCATACATATATGTCCACTCCTTAAAATATAAAATCGTTTCTTCGCCAATCAGGTGGATCGATCATTAAATTTTCGACTGGTACAACTTCGTGGCATTTTTATTTGGGAACTTCTGATCGGCTCATTTTGGTACACCCCTAGTTTTCCTCTAGGCTGATTCGACGCCAAACATTCCATTTTGTGGTAGGTGGCAGTTGAGAAACTTGGATGCACAGAGTCCCACATCCGACTGCCACTTTCAACCGCCTGATATCTTAGTGACCATGGATTGGTTGTGACTGAATAGCCTTGAAAATAATAACTAAGATCATTCATAAAAAAAATTAGAATGGTAAAATATCAAGCAAGCATCTCAATCTGAGCACACACATATACAGAAAAATGTGGAGTAGAAACATGTTGTCAAATGAAAACAGTAAAGTGAAAAGGAACTACGCATTACTTACGTGTAATTCACGAAAGATATAGGTCAGTTCCTTTACTAATGGTATTAGAATACTATGTAAAAAATTCAACTGACTACTGGATTTCACTACAAGATCTGGATCCATATAAGGGGCAACAGGAAGACCAGCTTGTTTTTCTGCTGCAGCCTAAAGACAAAAGAATCAAACAGAAGAACAGGTTAGAAAACAACAACTTTGAGACGTATTACTGCAGTTCCAACATACAAACACACATGTTATTTGTGATAATAACGTTTCATAATCCAATCGCAAAATAAATTTACAATTAAATTGAAATAAGTAGTTAAACAGTGAGGCGTAGGGTTTTTAATGATTTTAGACATTTAACTTTAAACAGCTAAGTCGCAGGTTCGAGTCTTATTCTATCTACTTGAGTTTGGGCAATCAGATAGTAGTGTTACTAGCCTTCTTATTACGTATAAATCATGGCTCAAAGCCGAGTACATAAACTTGGACTTGATAATTGAGTTACATCAGCTTTAGTTTAACAAACTTCAATATAGTAACTTCCGCTTTCGTACTCATCTTTTCCTGACAGCACTTGGGATACGTAGAGTATAATTATTCAGTTACGACTAACTCCAATTCAATTAGCTTTCCATGTTAGGTAGAGTTTTTAAAAACTAAATAGATGAAACATTGTTTGTTTTATGAACAACAAATATCAGTGATTACATCACTGCATCAACCATTCTATAATGCGAAAACGATTTGATGGACATCCCTAAACAATTTAAGTTAGACGATTATTGAAAAACTGGAAGCACCATTAGATGCTAGCTCAGTGGAATATAGTTTAGGCGTTCGTGTTTGAGACCAAAGGTTCATAGTTCAACGACCAGTGGGAATTGTGGATGCCCACTATTAAAAAGTCCCATGTTAGTGCAGTGAACGAGAACACAAGTGGGGACAGTCGAATGTATTTGAGCACAAAATTACAGAACATCTTACTAAAATTTGAGGACCATACAATGAATAGTTGAAATCATGAGTCAATTGAAGCTAGACCACCATGGAAAACCTAGAAGCACTGAAAGGCGATTTCGTCCTAGTATGGGACGCCTCAGTAGTTCGCATCCATGATCCTGTCCCCGCGAGACTCAAACCAAGGACCTATCAGTCTCGCGAGCAAGCGCTTAACCATCAGACCACTGAGCCGGCATTCAGCTGTGTTAATGTTTAACTTCAACCGATCCACAAAATTGCGCCACCGTACACCATTGTTTTCAGTGAGGTGATAACTCACAGCAGACCTGACTGAACACCATTGGTCACGGCGTCGCATCAGAACTCCAGGAAGTGCCTCTTGAAGTCAGTCACTAGTGAGCAGATGATTATTGTCAGAAGGGGTTTTGTAGAGATTTTAGTGATACAGTGAATACTTAATTTGCAAAATGTCAATCAATTGTCTCAAACTTCACTGCTCCTTTTGCATATATCAGTCAGTCGTCTCAGACTTCAATGTTCCTGCATTCCCATACCAATTGCTTTTTGTTCCCGTCCTTTCCCCCTCGATCTTCTTGAGCTTCTGCCGTCAGACATTCTATTCCTGACTAGCGTTATATACTACTTATGTCGATATAAGTAGCAAACACCACACTAGAACGAAGCAGCCATCTAAGGTTTCCACAGTGGAAGATGAAAGTAAGGAATGAAATAATCCGTCTCTTTGTAACAGATTTTGACTAATGTCAACCAACCTCGCTAACTACAACTACTGAAAGAGGTTATTACGTGGACCTCAACCAGGTAGATAGTCTCCACCTATCTAAATGACTAACATCAATCAGTCATGGATTGAAGCTACGATTAAGCAATAAATTCTTTCATAGCTATCTCAAAGATTAGTTCCGATTTTCGCCATTAGTTAAAATGAAGGAATTTTAAGCTACAGAATAAACTGAGAAATGGTGAATTTGATGATATACTATGTTATGCTGTAATGATCAACTAACAAGTTATCAATGAACTAATTGATATGATGTGATGTATTTCATGAGATCATATGTTTTTAGCCGATTCGGGGTTTACAAAGTGGTAGTTAGAATTTCGATTAGATAAAACCTTTATTGAAACCCAATAATTTAGCGATAGGTTGGATGTACACGAAGCCTAATCATCTCAATAATAACTAGACATAGGGAAAGACAGTAGATTGGTTGATAAGATTGTGAATGTTCATAGACCTAGATGGTTAAGAAGTGTATTACATATACCCAAACACCACCCACCTCGATGTGGAAAGTTCGCTGGTGAAGGATTAAGTTGGTAGAAAGCTGGAGGTGCCCTACCAAAATGTAGCATCAATTTGTGAAGTGAGATGCCAGCTATTAGACACCCACTATCTGGTTTGGATCCACGCGTTTATCGTAACCAATGTTTGGAGATGGTAGATGATACGGTTAGGAATGAGTAGCAGTGGAGCAGATACATTCACTATTTATCTAGTCCTAGATCATGAGTTCTGAACGTATTTTATACTTTTTATTCCATGAACGAATTCTTTCCTCTCGACTTATGTCATCTATGTTTAGGCTTTTTTTACTATTACTACTCCCATTACTTTGGCAATCATCTTAATAATTTCATCTTGCCGTACTGATATAGTCTGGCAACATGAACTGATACATATATTTGTCAGGTTCTACAATGTTTATGGCTGAATAACTGACTAGTATCACCAATAAATCACATTTCAGTCAGTCAGTCAGTCAATCAGTCAGCAACAATGTAGAACTTCGTACATACGTGCATCAGTTCAAGTTGCCATACAACATTAACACAGAGATTCAATTGTCCATTCAAATCCCACAGTGGTGGAGATAGTAAAAGTATAAGCAATGATCGGAAAGATTAGGCTCTGAATATGTCATTCAAGGACTATAATACAGAGAAATAAATTTGGAAAGAGAAAAAAAAGAAAGGGGTATAAAGAATTTAGAAGATCAGAATTTGGCAGAACACAAGCAGTTGATGCACCTGCGCCATCGCAAACAATTTTCAGCCATGTCATTCGAGGTCTCTAACCATCGGTTGCTATCATCTCGCGGTCCCCAATCAGGTAGTCTACATCTACCAATATGGCTCACTCCAACTGTCAGTGACTTGATGGATTTTTGCTGTTTTGATCTGACCACCACCAGCTTACTCCCAACCTCCTCCTATACCATAAGACATCGCACGTCGGGGCAGTCAGTGGTCGAGCATATGTAACACATGTCCCAGCCATCTCAATTGATGAAGTTTCACTACTTCATCAATTGATTTGCCATCCTTACCTAGTACCCGTTTCCTGACAACCACATTACTTACTCGATGGTCCCAGGATATACGAGAAATGTTTCGAAGACACCTATGATCGAATGCTAGTAACCTGAGAATATCCTCTACTCTTACCGGCCATGTTTCACTGCCATAAAGTAGAACGGAACGAACTGCTGCGCAATAAACATGTCCTTTGGTTGATAGACGGATATCTCGCCTACATCATAAATGACGCAAGTTTACAAAAGCTAGTCGAGCATTCTGTGTTCATGCTGAGATTTTATTACACACCAGACCACGAGGGCCAATGAGACTCCCAAGATAAGTGGAGCAGTTGACACGCTCAAATACTTCACTCCCTATCACTAGTTCGGGTGTCGATTTAACCCAATCCTGAAGCAACATTTTGCATTTCGAGGGAGAGAATCGCATCCCGAACATGCTTTCATTGTTGCTTAGAGTAGTCAGAAGACTCTGCACTTTGTCAGCGTCTTCACTAAATAGAACTATATCATTGGCATATTCTAAGTCAACAAGTGAATCTCCCGGTAAGAGTTCAACCCTTGGAAATTTAGATGCGGAAAGTGTTATCTCTAGAAACACATCAACGACAAAGTTAAACAAGAATGGAGAGAGTGGACAGCCCTGACGAACACCACTTTAGGTAATCAATTCCGATGACAGTTCGCCATAAGCTCTCACTCTACCAGTTGTGTTCGAGTAGAGAGCCTTTATAAGGTTAATGTACTTCTTTGGTACTCCTTCCAGTGACAAACACTGTCATAGAACCTCACGATCAACAGAGTCAAATGCCGCCTTAAGGTCGAGAAATACTACGATTTTGAGGCGTTTGAATGTGTGTCTATGTTCTAGGACTTAATGTAGTGTGAATATCTGGTTTATGCAGCAGCTTTAAGTCATACTCATATCGTATGAAAGCTTAGTGATATATCATCAAATGATTTAAACTACAGGATTCAAATCCACAATCTGAATAGTTGAAAACTAAGTGAGTTAATTATTAATCTATCATTCTTATTCATAATTGACCATTGAATAACTATCATTATTCAATTATGTAAATAAGAAGAAATGAAGTTTTTCAAATAACCTATAATCAGAACAGCTTTATATTAATATTATAGATTAGTATTGATTTTACAGTTTTCCTTCCTTTCATAAAAGAAAACAATAGTTAATAGGAAACGAAATCATTTTAGAGGGGAAAAAAAATGGTAAAAATAAACAATTTCAGGTCAAATGAAGATAGATAGACATAATTGGCAAGAAAAATAAATTATAACTTGGCATACAAATTATAACCCTAATAAAGATAAACTTATGAGTTAAAGTTGATAATGAAACAATTTAAATTTCAACTTTATAATAAATACAATTAACCAATTTTATTGTTCATTTTTAGTTGAATGGGGGAAATTGCAAATCTAAGAAGAAGAAAAATGTTACTCTTTGTCTTTGATCCTTCCCCCCAATATGATGGGTCAATCAAATATTGAGGTAGTGCAGTATTTCATAAGTTATGAATGACTTGTTAATTTTAACAAGAAAATAGTATTTAAATTATCTGTATGAAGTAGTGTAAACCGTAAACGGGTTCGAGGAAGTTATTGAAAAGACTTGAATCTAAGCTGCATGCTAGCTGGTACTGGTTAGTAAGATAGAGTTGGTATTTTTTTAGCAACTAATACTAACTATAGAGTTTAAACTCGCTCAATAATCTAAGCTATTCAAGTGATGACTGATATATTTACATTAGGCAACTTCTAAGTAACATCAGAACATAGTGCACACGATGTCGAATCATTCAAAATAATGACTATATTGTAACTTGGTCGATAGAATTCGATCAGTACAAGGCAAAAATGATACTGGTCGAACACTAGTCAATTCTAGTGGTGTAGATTTCTTAGGTTCAGTAATCGAAGTGGTAATGATAAGGTATTATATAGAAAAATATAGTTCGTGTAAAATCACTAATCATGAATTACAATGATTGTATGAGAAACACCTAATACACGAATATGAGCGTGATATTTGAAGTGTTTTGTTTACACATATTCCCAAAACAAAACTGCAGGTCACCCACTGGTCGGATATAATCCAGGAGCTATTTAGGTCATCGCTGAACTGATGACCGTGACAGAGATATGTGGTGTCATGTATGAGTTTCTCACTGTGGTGACCTAGTCAATTCATTACTCACCACAGCAGTCGTTTCTTGACAGGTCCTAACATTTCAGAGGTATCAGTTGGAAAGTCATCAGTCAGTCAGTCAGCTACAACGTATGACCAGGCACATATGTGCATCGGTCCAAGTTGCCATACCTCATTAGCACAACAAGATGAACACCGGATTCATAAAAGTAGTTAATTCAATAGTGGTAATATATAAAAGAAAGATTGCATATAAGGATATAGTATAGGAAGAAAGAATTAGTTCGTAGAAAGAAAGATATGAAGTGATTTTAATCTCTTAGTTTAAGAGAAGACAGGGAGTGTATACACCAACGCCATTGTGATCGATTCTGAGCCATGTCCCCAAGAGTCTCCAACCATTGGTTACGATAGTCACGCGAACCATAACCAAGTAGTCTGCATCTACCAACATGGCTCAGACTAGAAGTTAGTGACTTCAAGCACTGATGCCATGTTTTGGTTTGGCCGCCCCTTACTTTCTTCCAACCATCTCCAACACCGGTTAGCATTGCACGTCGTGGTAATCAGTGTTCAGGCATACGTAACACGAGGCCCAACCATCTCAGTCGATGAAGATTCACAACCTCGTAAGATTAAAGGAGAAAGTTTCCGATTGCAAAGATAAGACATTACTTCCAATCATGCAAACGTGTGGCAAAACGGAAATGTTGATCGTGAATAGAAAACATCTTCAAGGATGCTACTTCCTGGTAAATAGTAAAAGAGATTGGAGAAAATTCGGTCTTAGGAAAAACACATAAACACACTTTTAACGTCTTAGGAGTTTCCAGTGATAACATTTTTAAAAATATACAAAGTTTATACATTGGAAAATGTTTACACATGATCGGTATCATTTAGCCATCGATGATCACACTTTCATTTCGATAAGATCATATCAATAATAATTCAAATTCAATTAACATTCTTTAAGAAGAAATACCTTTTCAAGGTATGAACCGTCGAAGGGTTCAAATTGTTTCGTACCTCATCATAAGTAAAGCTGAGAAGTTACAAGATTGAAAAAAATTACTCAACAGATTTTTAATATTTCTAGTAATGAGTAATAACATACAATAAACACCTATAAATATCATTATTATTTATCTATGGAAAAATTAAACAAAAAAAATTATTACACAAACCTGAAGAAAAAATTCTTTGAATAAACAATCCACCCAGACATCAGCAACTAATGGTGAACGAATCTCATTTGATATATCGCATACTTTCAACAGTATCATTAAAAGTCTTAATAAATATTCTGGTTGTTGATTAATTAATGAAATTAATGAAGACTGGATTAGTGATGAATTAATATGACCATAATCATTATTATTAATATAATCGCCATTATTGTGATCACTGTCATTATCACCACCAAAATTAACAACGTTATTATCATTATTATTATTATCAACATGCTGATTGATACATGAATTATATTGGTCATATTTTTCTGATCGATTTTGTCTGTCCACCACTGTCTCATCATTGTCATTATGGTTAGGTTGATGACGATGATGCTGATGATAATAATCACGGGAAGTTGTTAGTGTAGGCTGTTGTTGTGTAGGCGACGGTGATGAAGGATCAATATATGATGATAATAATTGAAGAGAAGGAAATATTGAATCAGGATTTTTCAACTTCCCTTGTTGATTATTATCACAACAAGAATGATCAATATTTTGGTGATTATGTTTTATACTACTAATACTACTACTACTCATATCCATAGATAATGACTGGCAATTCATATAGACCTGTTTTCGTAAAACTTGAAATTGTGATAGACATTCTGAATGGATGGTCATATCTGTGCTTAAAATACATCTATGTGAATATGTATATACATATAAAATTTGAGAAAAAGGTAATTGCGTCACCATCATCCCCCCGGAACCCAATCCAAAAAAGAAATAGATTTCCAATGTTTTGATTGTTTCATTTTAAGAGGTATGAAATATGTAAAAGAAAAAAAGAAAAGAAAAGAGATGAAAAAAACGACGAGACATTAGAATGAATTATTTTGTCTTTTGTCAATTATATGAAAAGAAACCAAAAACATAAATTTCAACTCAACTGTTTCGCTCTCTCTCTCTCTATGTGAAACACTTTTTTGCTAAGAGAAGAGAACAGATCATGATAAATACGTCACATTATTCATTATTTGGTAAGATACAAAATAAATTAAAATCAATAGACGAATTAAAAGAAAAACACCCTACTCTTTAGAATAGATATTTCAAGAATACTGTGAACATATGACGAGGATAATAATAAGTAAGCAATGCTGAAGTGAAAACCTTACTCTTTTACTAAGATGACAAAATCGATTAAAGTTAAACAATTGTTGCAAATCTAGGGAAAAAAATATTGGAAAGTTGTTTGATTCTATTGTCAGCAGATTTGTTTTGTTTTGTTTTAAGTATAGCTATTTATTCACAAGTTTATATTAAAATTGGATAGTCACTAGCAATGGAATATAGGATATGTGTTACGTCATATTTGAAACTAGTCAGTTAAGTAAATTTGAATCTGGCTACCGTGTACAATCAGTCAGCTTAGTAGATAATGCGTTGAATGTTAAAAGTGAAAGGTATTGCGTTTCAGTCATAATGTGATGAACATGCAACACGGGGATGTAGATATACCCAGTTTCAAATAGGATGAAAAGAACGTACTGTAATCGACTACTAGTCGCCCTACATCCACCACTATCCAACTTCAATATCTCCAAATTACAATGAGAAAAAATAAATGGTATATATATATATATATATATATATATATATATATATATATATATATATATATATATATCATAACTAATAAGTATATACGAGTCACATTCTGATTAGTTTAGTAACAACAAACAAAAATCAATAGAGTATATACATTTCTAAATTGTTTGTCCATTCTACCTGACCTTAAAAAATTTAATATCTTTTATTCATTTTTGCATTGGTTGCTTGAATCTTCCTATTGATGTTTAGGACTGTAATTGATCAGTCTCTTATTAGCATATTTGCATCCTGTACGGATTGCCTTGATATTGCCATAAGTCACAAGAATTATAAGCAGAGATAGATGGTGGTTAGCAATGAAATCCAGGATGCGTGTTTCGTCCTATTTCAGTACTCGCCAGCTGGATTTACCTTCAATATCTTTTATGTTAAAATATTGATGAGAAAGAAATGTTTCACTAAATAAAAGCCTTACAGATATGCATAAAGACGTTAAAGAAAATAGATACAGACAAAGTTGACCTTAAATGTAAAATAGAATAATAAAAGTTTAAAAAAAAACCAAATTATCGTTACAATAAAATACAAATGGTTTCATTATCTCACACGTATAAACAAAGTCCTAAGATATGGATGTTATGTTTAAGATAGAAAAAATGTACTTAACAAAAAGATAATAGTTGCATATATGTATATACAAATCGACAAACCTTATCACAGATCTACGAAAATGACGTGATTCATTTGGTGTTAATCCACTGATAATATTTGCCGTTGGATTGTTGTTGATAAGATCGAATGCTGTCATACAATGATGATTCTCCAATGGTGATATATCATTGTAACGTAGAGCAAGCCAAGTGCCAGCATTAATCTATTTAGATAATAATAATAATAATAATAATAATAATACTCTTTGTTACTTCACCAAATTCTTTCACTTAATTATGAATGTGATGAGAATATAAACGCTGGTATGTGTTACGTAAAAAGTTAATTAAATATGTTTATTTGAGTGATTTATAGTGAGTTATTGTGGAAGGATAATTCAATGAAGAAAAAAATCAAACAAACAGATATTTCTCCATAGTATTATAAATTATATCATACAAAGATATTCAATGGAATTACCAAGCCTTTCGTTTCATTATCATATACTACTCAATTGTAATAATAATACTGATAATAATAATAGTAGCAATAATGGAAAACAGTATAATTATTAATTGATTTGATTTACATATTTAACATTCAGATACTTAGAAAATAAAGCAAAATGAATGAAGAAACATTTGTTTGTAATTAACTTCACATTATCATTATCACTATACATCCACACTACTATCATGTATGTATCTAGTTCAGATTTATAATTTCTAGCTGTTAATATTTCAATACTATAATTGATTAATCTCTGTTGATAAATGTACATCCTAAACGGATTTTCTCAATTTAATCATTCTAAATACTATAAAACTTACAATTAGAAGGCTATTACTAGGTAATTCACTTAGGGTACACATATATCAACAGAGACTGGTCAACTATAGTCCTGAATATCACCAACAACAAATTATAAAACTTTATTAATAATGCCTTATTTGACATTATGGTTGGGCTTATATAACATGACGACATTGGCTTGAATATTCATCCTTTAGGTCTGACACCATACAACCCAGGTCAGTTGGACAGAAGATTAAAAGAAGCGAAGTATGTGATCAGAAAGTGAAATTGTGCTGTCGAATGTACATGTGTTTAACGTTAGTAATGTATTTCCTTCAAATAACCAGCACATACAACAATGCTCCTATCACCACAACAAGAATGGGTTAAAAATAATTGACCATAAAAATATTACACTTCATATTATTTCATTAATTTTTGTAACCAGCATAAGGTCTGTAAAGTTTAATCTTTCCAAATATTAAAAATTTTTTTATTCTATACGTAAGTTAAAAATAAACAAATGCATAATCTTGAACAATCTAATCAGTCAAACTATACGAATTAGTGTCGATAAAAAACAAAACAGTAAGGTTGTTAGTTTTATATGTTTCATCGTCATTGTCTCACAGATCAGTAGTGGATACATTCAAGAAACAGTTATTCATTCATTCATTCACTCTCCAAAACTAAATTATAGTACATAAGAATTATGATATAATATGAAATATAGATTCTCAATCAACTAGGTTACTATTTAAAAAGATAAAAACAAATTATTGATTAATAGTTAACCGCTCAAGGTTATTTGTTTGTTCAAATTTTGGGACAAATGTTTGATTTTACTGGAATTTTTCATTTTATCACTGTTAATGGATTTTAATGATCTGTTTACATGAATTTATTTTGTTTCATTTATTTGTTATTTACCACTTGGTTATAATCTATCTATATGTACGATTTAAATATTTTCATCAACATAATTATCATTGAATATTATTAAGTAGTAGTAATAGTAGTATTGTTACTGTTGATTTAAACAAGAAAGATTTAGTCACCTACATCAAGAAGTAAGAAAATTACATACAGTCAAACATGTAATGCTAATGATTATTGACTACTTGTAAAAAAAAATAAATGATAATTGATAAAATATATTTGCAATTTTCATCTACCTACAAGAGTAAATAAATCATTCCTTATTATATTACTAGTAGTGGTAATCTTAATATTAGTATTATGGTGATTATTAATGTAAATGTGTAAAATCAAATGTTATGACGTCAAAGTGAAAAAAAAGAAGGCTGAATGAGAAAGAGAGAAACACATAGCCAATCAAAATTCGACCTTGAATTTAAACTGACAGGCCTGAAGGGCATGTCTATCATTATAATTGCTAATAATAATAATAATACAACCAATATCATCATCATTAATACGACACCACCACTATCAAAATCTATCTTGATTTGCTTACGTCAATACAAATATTGTTGAATGAACTATAAAGACTAAATGGTGACGTGTGTAATTTAACTGAGACACGATCAAATTTAATGTATCAACTAACTAACTAACTAAGTAACTAGTTTACCTAGAAGAATATTTGTCAGCTCAAAAATCAATAATCAGTTTAGGCTACCTAAACTAATCTCTTTCTCTCTCTCTCATTGTAGAATATAAAGAAAGAAAGAAGAAAAAAATTGAATGACTGATAGAATGATCCAGATCAGAGATTTTAACAAACTAAATAAAAAACAATTTGCCTGATATCATAATATAAATTAAAATAGTCAGATACATCATTTTGGGTTGGTAAGATAGAAAAGCTATTACGATATGTATGAGAGAGAAGAAAGAGAGTGGAAAGTCTATATATATATGTATATTAATTACGCTGAAATGATGCAATAAGTCCCTAAATGAGGACAAATAAAACACAATCGACTTTAGTTTTTATCATACTCTGCTTCTTGATTTTTTTTTCTAAAAAAGGGAAAAAAAAGAACCATGTTCAAATGTTGAAATTAAAAAAAAAGGGTAGGGGTTGTAGCAATTAGTCCGAGAAAACAAATACATAAAGAGTATGAGAAATAAACGTTGATTGAAAGCAAAATACAAACAAGTTTATATAACCACTTTTTAGTTCTTTAAATTAAGTGAACTCTTAAGTAAACAGATTAAATAAGATTCGACGTCATTATACTGGTGTTGATTAATACAAATAAGACTGTTACTTAATATTTATTATATCCTTAGAATTATAAAGAAGATAATAACTGCAAAAAAAACGCCTTCCAATACAAATCAGTCTTAAAAGTAGGTTTCAAACGAAATTTGTAAAGTACATGACTCAAAAGTTCATCAGAATTAATGTTATACGCATATAATCCGAAACGATTATGCATTAATTGAAGGCTCGAAATGTTCAGAGGTTGTGATACAGCATCTACAGTCTACACCTACAAACATAATCACCTTGATAACATTTCAGTCAATTGACAGAATGCTCCTTCGAAAATTAATCAGTTTCGAAAACAACAATATACAACAGTGAAGTTTCACAAATCTTAGTTTTATGCTGGTGTTAACAATTCAACGGTCTTTTTTAAAGTTATTCACGTCCGTAAGTTATATTTAACGACGGAATATAATAAACTACACATTATATAAATGATTCAAAATAGAATACAGAACGTTATTTGATTTGATTCCACAAGTTAAAGGAGTTGATAAGGAAAAAGTGAATGTGTTAGGTGATTAGAAGTAGTCAGTATGAAACCATGGATCTAGGTTTTTGTACTATTTGGTATTCGTTATAAAGAGATACCCATAATTCTGACAGAACTGATCCTGCATGTGAGATTTAAATCCGCGTCATTAGGTTTCACAGTTTTAGACGTTACTACTGATCTATTCAAGTCACAGTTGACCTCATACAGGACTGAGATATATTTACAATTGATTGATTACTAAGGAGTGAGCAATTTCATGCTTATCTAGTCCTTTATCTTTGCTGTGAGCGAGTTTTATCGATTAATTCTATATTTTAGAGTACCTGATAATACACTTTTGAAAATAAAGACTAAATCATATATGATAAATATTTATTGCGATGAATGAATATTGATCTATGGAATATCATACAATTGAATTAACTATTATGAAGTATTATACTGATACAAAAAACATGAGAACATTAGAGATGATGGGCACAGATATCATTCAATGTAGGACACGATATATACATATACTAAATGAAATCGGATACGCTTCACATCATAGTAACAAGAAAATAATACAAGGGAAGATAAGGAACAGATGTATGCACACCATATTTTTGAACTATGTTGCCTAGAGTTTGCAAATACTGATCACAGTTATCTCGTCAAAGTCAATAATTATAAGGTTTGCAAAGATCAATAGGCGAAGACTTCACAGACTGATGCTATATGTATGTCTTGAGTTAATCACATACATCCTTTTTGTCCAAACTAATCGCCTAAAACTAGAAATGTATGCAGACTATAAGTATGTAACAGTTACCGCGTGCGAGATAGTGGACGAGCACTGCTGAGGAATCCTATACTAGGACGAAACGATCGTCCAGTGCTTCCAGGTTATCAACGGTGGTCTAACATTGATTGATTCATGATCTCAATCAAAAAATTATTCAATGGTAGTTAACAATTTCATCCCCAACAGTTTATCATTCTCACCTAATATTCTACGCCTAACGTAAGCAGTGATAAAACAATTTGATTATTTCATCAACCACTTCTCTAATAAAAACTAACTAAATTAATTACAGGTTTAAAGGAATTGGAAAAAGAAACAGTTCACTAACTAACTGACTCCCATAAAAACTATTATTATTAACAATAACATTATTCGTTTGATGAGCTAATAATCAGTTTTGGGTTAATGAAGAAGCATATCAACTTTACGAAAAACGATTAAACATATAACAGGGTATGTAGACACACACACATGCAAACATACAAAAATATACATACATCATTATATAAGATAGTTTATCATCAAATCGATTTTTGATAATATCAGTTATAGAAGATTCGTTTTCGTTAAAGAAAAAAAAACAGTTAAATAAATCTGAAACTATCATCAAAAGAAGTTTATAAATAGGATACTCACTTATCTATATTATTATTATTATTATTATTATTATTATTACAAATTCATATGATACTATACAATTAGCCACTGCTGGTACACTATACTTGTTTCATACTGATTATTAGATTAATTGGCATAGTTTTTAGTTAGTACAGTAAAAAAAAACACAGTGATTTTGTATAGAGAGGTTTAGATGAACAGAATGATCGGGGAAAAAAAAGAAAGAATCGAAACAGAAAAGAAGAGAAGAGACAAGGGATAAGAGTAATAACAACAACACTTGGACTCCATATGCCACTATTGGTTATCAGTTGTTAAACTGATTGAATTCAAATAAAAGATTTTTCTTTCATTGTTTGTCTTTAGCTTACATTCCATAATTATAGATTTGATAAAATTTATATGCCACAAGACAATGATAATCTCTGCGATTATTATCAATATCGCTGATATTATTACTAATATAACTGTTATGAATCGATATTAATTGGAGAAAACCAATCGTGTCATTGTGCTACAACGGGATAAATGAGGAAAAAAAATTGAACTTACGGAATCTTCTCATGAATGAATGATTTATAAATTCAAACTGTATGATCAGAAGTTTTCTACCTGATGTATTTTGTGTTTTGTTCTGGCTATCTGGAGAGTGAGTGAGTGTGAGAAAACCACTTAATCGTTTAGTATTGATATAGGCTGTTTTCCCACTATTATTACGATATTGGTTACCAGAAGGAAGTTGATACTAGATACACAATCTAAACGAATCAATCTGTACTCGGAAAAAACCAACATATCTGCTCTCTTGTATCAAAATTCGACCACACAGGCACCAAATAACTCAAGGAATTAGTTTTTTGTCATATCACGTTTTGTTGAAGGCTCCTCAAAAGTGAAAACTAGTGATTACACACAGGACATAGGATCTTAGAACCTTTGAATTTTATAAAGATAATGACAATTTAACACCAGTGAAATCAAACTACAGTGGTATGTTTTTCCAGCTTCATTTCGTTTACGGTTCTATAGAGCAACCGATATTCAAAGTCATTAGTAAGATTTGTCTTGCTGCTTATTCGGCTAGACTCCACCATTGATCACAACTTATCCCTTCTCTTTTCAAAATCAGTTAGTTTCTTGGAATAGGAGTACACTGTCAGAACATTAGGGGCAGACAAATCATGGACTATCAAGTCATTAACTGTTGGATTGGGCTATATTGGTAGATGGAGACCATCTCGGTTAGGATCCAGTCAATTATTATGAACAATAGTTGGAGATATCAAGTGAAATGGCTTACAATCGGTCGTATTCAGACAGATGTATTCATTATTCGCCTTCCCTTATATCTTGAGTTCTAAAATTATCTTATGCTACTCATTCCATAAATTCACCATTTCTACTCACATTATATTGTCCGTATCTAAAATTTTCTACTAACACAAATACTGTTACTAACTCTACTATTGTCAATTGTCTTGATAATTTGATCTGTCCGTGGTGATATGATGTGGCAACTTGAATTTAATACATATATGCGGAAACTTCTAAGCTGTCTAACTTTCGATCAGCATCAATATATGAGAGAAAATGATTGTTATTATGATATGGGCTGCCCGAGCGCCCAGGTTGGAACAGGTGGTTCACTTAAGAGGACACTATCTTCACTTTTAACTTAACGGTCTAATTTATAAGCCAGTGAGTAATTGAGGGAATAAAATCTCACGATAGGTTTACAAACTTTTCGCTCCCACAGTACCCAGAAGCTCATGCTGACCGTTAGTTTGAAATTAGGGCTTTCTAACTCCTCGGACGGGTTCCCCTGTAGTCACTAATCCGGCCAAAACCCCGGAAATTCGCTAGGTAAACAACACCACCAGTATAAAGCAGTGAGTAAAAATGAGTGGCCAAATGAGAGCATTTCTAGAGTACAATGAGTATTTCCCCAACCCCAGCCATAACAGGAAATATCTTCAAAAAATATACATATTCACCATTGTTTACTTTAAATGAAACCAATGAAAATAAATGTCTTTATGTACATCAGTCGTTTTAATAGTTTGCTAGGTAATAGTGTAAGTAAATTATAAAGCTTAATGCTTACTTTTTAAACTACTGCCTATCCACTAAATTTCTAATAAAAATAAGACTAATTCATATTCAAATTATGTTTGGTACTCTACAGAACACTTACAACTACTTCCTAGAAATTTTAAAATCGAGGAAAATTGTACAGCGTAAACATAGAATTAATGGTTCACTTGTATGGTCAGTTAAATTACAGAAGTCAAGGGTTTTATTTTGAAATGGTTATTAACAGTTTAAAAGTTTTGGAAACTTCTGCAAAACATATTCAAATTAATGATAATTTTATTATGTACTACACCTCATTATAGTTGTGCATTTTCCTTGAGAAGCATAGGAAAAAGGTCATATATAATGGATATTTAAAAATAACAAGAGACATACAATAGGTTCATTACGTAAATTTTATTAAAATTGTGTGTTTAGTATATTTAATGTGAGGTTGACAGTAGAATCCAGGGCACGTGTATCATCCAGTTTGGAACTCGTTAGCAAGATAGATGCATCTGCATCCTAGTGTTGGGGTCCATATCGGGACTTTTCGCTCTATACGTTCGACGCATTATCCACTAAGCTACTGAATTGTTCACTGTGTATGAAAGTATTAGTGGTGACTTGTAAATTCTTTATGTTGGTATTTTGGACTGTAATCGATTAATCTTTGTCTGTAAATATGCATCCTGAGCGCATTGGTTCCATATAGCGTTATGTAACGAGTTAAGTAATGTTGAGTTGTATGTTATTGTGCTATATTTCGTTAAACCCTTACCAGTTGTAATCAGACTCATACAGATACTAGATTAACGATGCTCATTAACTTCCTTTAGTGGGGAATTCAAAACATTGTACAAACTAATCAAACAAAGGAAGGTAATAAATAGATTTTCAATGTCTAAACAATATATAAGATAGTGTTCTCTGACATTTCTATACGACATGGTTGATAGTAAATGATTATGCAATGTTCACTCATTGTATACATTTTCACCAAATTAACTGAAATTTTAAACACTGAATTATAGAAGATCAGATGAGGATTTGTAGACAGTTTGACTTCTATTTAAAAAAAATATTTCAATGAAACATTTATACATATAACTTAATCGTACAACTACTAATAATAACAGTAAAACCACTGCTGCAAATACTTGTATTTTACATTGCTTACGTTATGAGTAAATATTTTATCCTAGTATGGAACTATTATACAGCAATGTCCATGCGCGACCCCATTGGGAATCGAACCCAAGACCTTGAGGCCTCATGGTTAGTGTTTGATCTGTAGATCACTGATCTGGCATTTGATGGTTAACAAGTTTAAATTCAATCAAGTCGTGAAATTTTTAAATCATCCTATAATATTATTGACAAGTAACTGCCTTACATTCCATATCGTTGAACTCCACTGGTCACAATATTTTACTGAAACCCTAGGAATCCCTGTCTGGAAAAGGCAGGTGTATGTAGAAATAACTAAATTTCATGGTTTACATTTACGAACTGATCTTAGTTAGACAAATATATTATATCAAATAGGTTTATTTGAATCAAAATTTTAGGGAAAAAAATAATCAAATAATAATAATTTATTTACCTGGTAAGAGTTTGTAAAACCCGGATGATCAAGATCATGTGACAAAGCGGAGAACAATAGAATCAGTAAATCCACTGAGGATAAATACAATGGTAAGTTGACCATTTTAATGATACAATACATCTGATAGAAAAGAGAGAGAAAAAAACAGGAAGTAAAAAGAGAATAGATAAAATACAATGGTTATCATGTTGTTTTCATAGTCGCTGTTTATAATATTCATTTATTTATGTATCTCTCCTTTTATCATTTCGATCCCAATCAATAATATTTGTATAGGTAGACAGACGAAAAAATATGAAAAAAAATCGTGGTGAATAGTTATTTCAATTTATTGTATAATCACTTCATATATATTCCATAACTATTTTCTTTAGGGTATTACCTTGAAGAAGTCCAGACAATTTAGCTGGACGAAACGTTGAAATGATTTAACTTTCAATTGCTGAGATCAATTCAAATATAATTCATACATATAATGACTTTTCTATACTCGGCGCCCAATTTCTGTCAAACTATCTAATGGTTGTAACTTTGAATTTGAAGTTAATTCAATTCTCTCCAAGTGTTCGTGTGTTTTAATGAGGATTCTAGTGTTGTATTAGTATTCATCGGTAATACTGATTAAATAGTATACTTGATTATACAATAATTAAACTAGTTATTCATTACAAGTACACAGTAGAGGTTAGTAATTAGCGGAAAATAAACCAATATCTATCTATGTATATATATATACAAATAAATGCACATAAAGTAGATGAACTCAATATTTGTCTTCTCTTACAATTTGAGTTTACGAATTATATTATACTTTTCTATTGTTTAATCATATTGCATATATCTAATCTCTTATCATACCAGTAAATATTGTAAATATTAGTTCTATTACTCTAATATTTGTCTTAATAATTTTTATTTGGCTCTATTGATTTAATGTGACAACTTAAGCTCACGTACATAATTGAGAGATATTATGTTGCTTTTGATTAACTAATTGACTGATATTGTAAGAAAGTTGAGTTGAATGAAAGTAAACTGCAACTGTTTCGAAATTATTTTACGGAGAAACATGATATTTGAAACTATGCTGTTAGAAAATGATGCTTGGAATTAAATAAAAATTTGTTGACTAAAACAAAATTGAGAAACTTTACAAAACTCATTTATTTACTATACATACACAAAACATCTGATTGGAATCTGATAATTAAATTTCAGTGTTTAAGAATACATTTTTTACGAGGTCATGAGTATTTAAGAGCATTTAAACTATAATTATATATATAGGTTGTTTGATAGGATGAAACGTGCATCCTGGGTTTCAGTGCTAGCCACTATCTAACTCTGCTTAAAATATTAGTTGTAATTTATTTCTGTTAATTGGTATTCAGGTACTTAAACATGATATTCCGATAGATACCAATCTGATAACAGTCTGGATGAATGGTTTAAAATATCCAGGATTGACTGGATTTTATTTGCTAATTATGGCCCAAAGCCGCCAATCAGAAACAGCGAATTATCGATCGGGCTAAGGACGCGTAAAACACGTGCGAGCAGCCTAGAGTCCTGAATGGTCTCGCTTCTTGTCTAGCCCAGCCAGTCAAGTCCAGAACACCAATCTCAGCCTCTGCAATATGAATCCTTATATTTCAAACATACTGAGTTTATATATCAATCAAACAGACCACAATGTAGCATAAAATAGAATATAACATTTGTACAAAATTTAGCCAAATGTGGCTGTGAATGTGTGAGGCAGTGACTAATAGACAGGGCACAATTCAAGAATGGTAAAACGTGTAATAGTGGTTCATAGGTCAAAATAAAGCATATAATAAAAGAAACATGAATATGAGTAGTTTAGTTATTTAACAATTATACGATAAAAATATACGTTTAGTATTGGTCCATAAAAGGATCACAAAGTTATCATTCATTATGTTCCTCGGTACCTAACAGTTCTACAGTTTGAAAATATTTCCATATAAAGTGTTCCTATTCCATGATCAATTTACATCTGATAAGAAGGCGTTTTTCATGTATCAGTTCAAATCTCAAAAAAATAACTCACATTCAGTATAACACATGCAGACTCACAGTGAAAAAACATCTGTTGCTCAATGTGATAAGTGGATTTCTTTTAGCAAGTTATTTAAAAACTCTGGTTTATCCAACTTTTTTTCGAAAACTATGTAGTTGATATTATGCATATGTACTGTTATTTTCTATATTAAATACTGCTACACGATTTAAATGAATGAATTACAAATTAAGAGAAATATTCACAACATGAATTCAGGCTATTTAAAAATGATTCATTATCTTACAGAGGAAGAATGAAAAGAAAAACATAGCATTTCAGCTAACCAGTGACGATAATATGGTGAAAGCATGTGTGTGAGTTGTGGTGTATGCTACTTATGTCGACAGACATAAGTAGTAACATATATCAGAAGTGGAGGACCTGACAACAGAAGGTTGAGAAGATTAAATTGAAGAGAACAGAAATATAAACAAATAATAACTGTGATAACAATAGAAATGGAGGAACGATGAAGCATTTGAGAAACAATTTATAGAAAATGTGCAAAGGAAGTATTTAATGTATGATTTTCTTATTTTATCTAGACATTCTATAATGTTGTAATAAACAATGAGTTCTCATTCACTGCAGTGTGAGTATATGTGGGATTTTGTAGAGTAATCATCTAGCGTGATACTGAAAATTAACTGCTATCTATGCACATACGACATTTCAAGGTCAAAATCTACGCCAGAAATCATAACTGGAGTAAGCTGTTAGAGGAATTCGGTTAAGCTATTAGTGAAGACCCCATAAGCCTACACATCCCTGTTTGTGTCAGAATGATAATCGTATATACACCTACGATTTGTGTACACTATGATTCAGTTTAGCAATTAAGCCTTCCCACCCATTTCACTCTTCTCATTTGTACTGTATGTATATAGTAACAATCTTCTAAGAATTATTTATCAATGGTTGAGATTATGAGTCAGCTGAAGCTAGACTACCATGGAAAACCTGGGAGAACTGAACGGCCGTTTCGTCCTATTATGGGACTCCCCAGCAGTGCAAACCCACGATCTCACCCCCCCCCCGCGAGATTCAAACTTAGGACCTATCAGTCTCGCGCACGAGCACCTAACCACTAGACCACTAAGCCGACCAGCATCCAACAGTGTTAATGTCTACCTTCAATTAATTTATCAGTTGAGATCTTGAGAATCATAATCATGGGCGAATTACAAATTGGATCACTTCAGTCACTGTAATATTTTATCAAATTAATTATACAATTATCACACATACTGCTTTTTATGTTATATTACTTATTATGAGATATAAGAAACAAACAATAGATTAAATTTGGCATATACAATAATTCTGAACAATTATGCACGAATAAGTTATTTATAGTTAGTTCATAAAATAACTACAAAGTGTTGACAAAACAAAATAATTCACTTGTCGTACCATAAGCACATTAACACAGACATCATAATAAGTGAATATTAAATTGTCTGGCTAATAAAATGATCATCAACCTATCAAAAGAATTACATTTCTCTCTCTCTCTCTCACTCCCTCAATTCTTAACACATTGTATTTTGCCGTGTTAATCTTTATAGTAAAAAAATGGTAAGCACGTATAGAATTAATTAGTGTATTATTACTATTATTATTATTATTTAATTTTAACTAAATGATGACGTGTGTAAAGGATAATTTCGAATAGGCAGTGAACATAGAAACAAAACAAAGAACAACAAAAATAGTAGATTATAATGAAATGTTAGGGTCTTTTAAATGATAAAATCGAATCATTTCCATTATGTATCAATATATTTGCATGAAATACGATAGATTACATTTGTTATTAGAAAAATGATAGAATTAAAAAAATGAAATATATCGGGAAACAAAGGATACTTTGATTCAAACACATTAAAATATATCATGCTATAATAGAAAGAAATATTATCTTATATTGAACGACAATAGATTGAAATTACATAATAATTTCTGTAAGCAGGATAAAGTCTTAACTGATTAATAGGCTTAAATCACGGAATTGATTGATGAGTCAACGAGTGATGTTTTATGGTGTAGGAGGAGGTTGGAAGAAAGCTAGGGGTTGTTAGATCAAAACATGGCACAAATCCATGAAGTTACTGACAGGTGCACTGAGTCGTGTTGGTAGGTGTAGACTAACTGGTTGGGAACCGCGAGATGATAGCAACCGATGGTTAGAGACCTTGAATGACATGGCTGAAAATCGTTTGTAATGGTGCAGGTGCATCCACTGTTTGTGTTTTGCCAAATTCTAATCTTCTGAATTCTTTATGTCCCTTTCTTTTTCTTTTCTTTCCAAATTTATTCCACTGTATTCTACTCCTTATATAACATGTACAAAGCCTAATGTTTTCGATTACTGCTTATACTTTTACTACCTCCGCCACTATGTGATTTGAGTCGACAATTGGATCTCTGTGCTAATGTTGTATGGCAACTTGAACTGATGCACTTATGTACAAAGTTCTACATAGTTGCTGACTGACTGACTGACTGACTAACACTGATGAGTCTATTTTTTCAACTAAACAGAACTAGTGGATGATTCAAGAAGATGTTACAAGATTATTGTGTAAATTCTAATATAAACTTCAACATTTCAACTACTGTATCTTTGTTGTGTTTTTGGTTTTATTAGAATTTACATTGTTTATTTTCACTTGTTGTTTTAATTTGGGAATACTTTAATGAAGTATTATGATTAGGAAATAGTGAAAAAGGAAAGAGCATGATAGTTTTTAGTAAGGAAGATTAAATGTCAAATAAAAGTAACTCATTTATACACCAAATACACTTTTATGTTAATAAGCTTTCAGTCAGATTTTTTTTATTTTCTCTTTACTAATGATGATATATATCATTAAGTTTCCCAAATTGAAATAGATGCAATGAAATTAAGTCAAAAGATCATTAAACTCCAATGAAGTTAGCAATAAAGAAACTGTAGAAGATAATCGAACAATAAAAAGATACTACTAAAATAATGATTATAAGACAAACTAAGGAAAAAAAGTAAGGAACA